TTATCATCTATACCATTGCTAGATGTATTAAGATGTGATTGAGACTGACACAAAAAGTGAAAACAGGCTAATGTGTCATATAATGCATGCTATGATATTACTTGTCAAGTTTTCCATGCTAATCATTCCGTAAGAGCATATTCTGGTGGACTGATAGTTTACAGATGTACTATACATGATCAGTTAAACTAATTTGTGCACTTGAATAATACAGTTTATCCTCACAAATATTCCACAGCTCAGATGCAAGTTATACAACCCATATCTGCATACTTTGAAATTGTCGCAGCAATTGATGTATTTCTACTTGATATTTTTTCCTAATATTCTATTTGGGAGCCATTAACATCTATAAGATTGCCACTATAAAGTTTCGTGAGCACTGGTGCTCTGTAACTAGTTGTATGTATGTTTTGTTGGCCGATGGGACAGAATAGGGGCTACCAATTCCGGTTACTTAATTTGGCAGCGTGTAGCTTACAGTCCCAAAGCAATATGTCGAGACCGACAACGAAATCGTCAGCGGGCCCCCCGGCGCCCAACTTCAATTCCGCGAAGGTGATTATGTTAAGTCGCTATCGTTGCAGCGCTGGGGGAAAGTCCTCTCGATCCAGGCAGACATAGTTTGCTTCTCGGAGCTACGTGCCGTTGAACTTAGCGAGGACAGCATCGGACGTCTGCAGCTACTGCAGAAATTTGTCAAGGTGTGATTTTATTTTAATATGATGGGTTGGAATTTTTCTAAATCTGGACTGCGTCCATTAGTTACACGACTCTGTCCATAACGTCGGATTACTAGCTTCAAAAGGCTCTGACCTACTTCACGTTGCTGCTGTCGCTCGTACCTTTCAACAAACAAGCGTTGGTAGGCGAAGTTCTGCGCCATTCTACACCGGCAAGGACCCGCTTGAGGGGGAGAACATTGTCGTCGTCTCTCGTCGCGCTGGTTCGAAAGGACTTGTAGGCCAGGTCATCAGTACGAATCCGCACCGCCAAGAAGCCACCTGTCGTCTGACGGCTTTGGGAAGACTTGAGACGCTCCCCTTCAGTACTCTGGTATCCTTGTAAGTAGCCCATGATTATGATTGCCGCCAAGCTGACCCCAAAGCAGGAGAAATGGGTTATACTTAACTGGCACTCCAATACCCAATCACAAAAGGGGATGGTTTCAGGCCGAACGAAGAGCATTCTACGGCTTGCCCGCCGTGGAGGATCCGCTTCCCAGATCTGTCACACCTCCGCAAGATGTAGATATCCCACTGACGGACTTCGAAAAAGCCGACATTGAGACACGGGCGCTCGCGCTCGCACAATCCGCACTTGCACAATCCCCACAACACGAGGATGTACAACGACCTTCTTCGCCCCTCCCGTTCCTTCTTGACGACAGAATTTGCGCTAACCTCGGGAGCAGGGGAGTCCATGTTGGGTTTCTACCTTCGTACGAGGGTGGGAGTCAGGTAAAGGTGTCAGGCTTCACAGATAGCCCAGATCGATTTTGGAGCAATAAACTGAGCTGTCCTGCTCCTGACGGCTGTGTCGCCGTATCATGGAAGGTGAACGGCACTAAACCACGATCTGCCTTTGTCCCCGCCTCGGACTTGAAGCCGTGTCCCCCCCGCGCGAAAAACAAGTACATTTTGGTGCTTAGTGGTCCGTACGTCGGTCAAATCTTCCTCACGAAGGGTTACAAGAAGGCGAATGATGTCTATGTCGTTCATGAACATCGGGACGAGATTCCGAATGGTATAGTCACCGAGGTTAGAGAGCATGGATCTAATTAGCAGCGGGCTACAATTTACTTTCGATGGGCTTTCCCAATGTATCATTCAAATTTGCACGTATATTACACGACTCAGCTCTTCTGTTCCTGCTCAGAACCTGCCATTAACCGTCAACAGTGGAGCAGCGGAAGAACAGGGGTGGTGGAGCTCCATTTCATACCTTAGATGTTGGGAACAAAGAAGCAGGGTAGAGGGTACATGTCGAACGAGAAGCCTTAGCTAGATAGGAGAAATAGAGACAATGTGCTTGTTTAGTAGCACGTTGGTCGGTCGAAGAAGGTGAGGAGTCGGGGCGCGGAGAAGCGCAGACACCCGTTATGGCGCGAAGAAGTGATAGAATTTGGTGAGCTGACCAGACTCGCGCCCCATATCACCCACCGCGCGCTGGTGTCACCCTTCGCTTCACAGTTGTATATAAAGGTGCGTACTTCATGCTCCCGCCTTGTCCTCAGGTCTCCCGCCGCCTTATCTTTAGGTTTTTCTTTCTTCATCATGCCCAAGGCGCCACGCACTACCCTCTCTCGTTTGCGACTTCATCCGTACACCAAGTCCGATGGCACAACCAAGAAGCCTGCGCCTAGGTCAAAGGAGTCTCTCCGCACTTCCTCAGGGAACCTGATCCTTAATGCTCGTCTTGGAGGTGGACCTCAGTTCTTTGGGCTCTTTGTCGTCCTGGTGCGCATTCATTTGCTCTTATTGTGTACGCGTGAATTGACCTGAACGAATAGCTTGGAGTTCTGAAAGGAATTCGGCGCTGTCTCGAGTGTCGAGTCCTGGACCTCCCAGAATGTGTATGGGAACGCGGGCATGGGTCTTCCTGTGACCACTGCAGGTCGAAAAGCAGATTGTGTAGCCTCTCAGGGAATCTACACAACGTATACTATCTCAACGACATTCTTAAGTTCCTCGGGTTGCCAGGCGCGAAATCGGACCGCGAGATATACAGGCTTTACCGTGCACGGCGCAATTCCAAGGAGGCACCGGCATCAGTCAGCCACAAACCGGGCGAACACACATTTGACAACGACGATCCTTGTAAGTACTTACTTCCTATCTCTTACTTGTGCTCATCGTATCATAGTGATCGCGGCGTTGGTCTCACACAATCGTCCAGGTAACAGGAGAGTTCTCTTACCTGAAAGTAAGTCATTCCTACCTGGACCTTTCTTACTTACAGCGGTTCTTGCAGCCCTTGAGGAATTGGAAAAACCCAACCTGCCTCCCTACAATCCGTTAGCGAGGACGTCAGCGGGAACATCAGCGGGAACATCAGCAGGAACATCAGCAGGAACATCAGCAGGAACATCGGCGGATCCATCAATGGGGACATCAGCAGGGCCACCAGCAGGGCCGCCAGTGACAGTGTTGTCAGAGGCCTCAGAGGCCTCAGAGGCGTTGAGCGAAGTGGACGAACGTAAGTGATCATGATCTATATCGTCCAATTTAAGGCCTTCATCATTCCTCGACAGTTGCAGACGATCCTGACGCTGCCATCATGCCCGATGCTGCGACCATGTCGACTACTTGAAATAGCGAACACACAACCTGACGCAGCGAACCCACAGCCGCTTCCTCATACCGTCGGAAGGTTAGCATCGGTGTCCAGGGGTGAATCAGATGAATTAGAAGTTACAGATACAATGTACATTTGGTTTGTTGTGTATATACAAATTGTCAGGAAACAACCCATGTCATGTTCAGTTGAATCACTGTCGGAGCAGTCGGAGCAGTCGGAACATATAACCTACGCCTACCACAGTGTTCTCCTCGAGAAACGCGCAGTGATCGCTATCATCACGAACCCCTCAGCGTACCTTTGGTACACGCGCAGGAAGCTCTTCGACGAGCTTCCTCAGCAGGTCGTTGCACGACCCGCGCACAGCAGCCGTTTCATACACATGAAATGTTGCGAGTAGCACGCTCGCAGGGCGCTCCAGGCGCCCAACGCGTTCAGGGCGCCTATCCGTGGGAACAACCACGTATGGCCAGAAGCGGAGTAATGCGCCCGACACGGCTGTTGAGGGCGCTTTCCCCTAAACGCCGCATGGTGAGGTACGGGCACGGCTGCAGGTGCCCTTGCCACGAAGGTGCCGCCGTCTTGTCGGGCGGCATAACCTCTTGTCGGAATTATCGCTCAGTTTCGTACGGTTTCTTTTCTCTTATCCTGATCGATTCAGGTACTATCGTAGCTACTCGATGTAGCTACGACCGTTGTATAAGTCTACACTACGCATGTACGAGGACTTCAGTTGGTTTAGACTAAACGTCCGCAGGTATGTCGCTATCACTCAATATTAGTTGGTTTGGACTGAACGTCCCCAGTGTGATGGCACTCTCCATATTTCTCTATGAAACGCGTCCTGGCGTCCATTTCGGATGTGCTGACTTGTACCTGAGTAGAGCACCAGCTTATACACTGCTAGTTAGCGCCTTTTCGGTTGCGAGTTGCTATCCATTCCCCGAGCCTTGCTTCATAGCTACATCAAGCACTTATTGCGTTCTTCACGGGCATTATCTTTTATTCCCTACGTTGTACGGTTTCTCCATAGGCCTACTTTAGAGAAATAGTGATAGTGCGATCACACTGGGGACGTTCAGTCCAAAACAACTGGAGTCCTCGTACACACGTAGCGTAGACTTATACAACGGTCGTAGCTACATCGAGTAGCTACGATAGTACCTGAATCCATCATGATAAGAGAAAAGAAACCGTACGAAAATCGGGCGATGATTCCGACAAGAGGTTATGCCGCCCGACAAGACGGCGGCACCTTCGTGGCAAGGGCACCTGCAGCCGTGCCCGTACCTCACCATGCGGCGTTGAGGCGAAAGCGCCCTAAACGGTGGTGTCGGGCGCATCACTCCGCTTCTGGCCATACGCGGCTGTTCCCACGGTTAGGCCGCTGTCGGGTTCCACGCCTTGAGCGCCCTGAGCGCCCTACTCGCAATATACTTTGCACGCCACAACGCCAGTCCAGATCTCAAGTGAGAGGGTAATACAATTGTCGTTGGAAAAATGCTAGTAGCAGCGGTATATCTACAGTAATGCAAGAGAATGAAAACATGATTCACAAAACAAGACAAAAGAATGAAACTCTAAATGCAGCTCCCAATCACAAACCATACACCGGCCTATATTCGCTCAACATACTCGGGTCCCCGGATCAACCGGTGGTCCACGCCGGCTGTAGACGTTACGGGCGCAATGGTACCTGAGACTCTGGCCTGAATACACTGACTTCTCGTTCCGGTACCTTTAGAAACCCTAAATCGCAGCGTAAGAACTACGTCAAACGCATACCGGGAATACGCACCTTTGAGAGAGCTTTGAGAACAGCCCTACTATTCAGCTATCGCATGCTGATGGTATGGCATAGCCAAGTCGTTGCCGGAACTATCGTGGCTAGCTTGGCATGTTCCTCCTTCCAGAGAGACGCTCCAAAATCAGCGTAGTGGCGAAAGGGGTCTTTCTCGCCTTCATTAAGAGGCAGAAACTGCCGTACAATGAAGAAGTGTTCATACGGGCTGCAGAGACAGCCGTCACTCCGAATGGATATCATCTCTGCGGTCAATAGCAGGTACGTCGGTAGTAGAATTGACCCTAAAGAAAATGTGGATGTGTGAACACGACGTACTTGCTGTAGCACTCGTCATATTACAGGGATGTTTGCGAGTGATGTTTGCTCATGCAACCGCTAAATATACACAGGCATGCGTTTCTTTCGACAAAACTGTGTAAGGATGGAGAATAGCGGATACATGATAATGCCTGATACTGATTTAGAGACGATTTCCATGCCCCACTCAATACGTAGTGCGAGATGTCAAAGGTGTCTGTTCTGACGCCTTATTAGCGGCCTGGGCATCAGGGTGCCCGCTGACATGAGCATAAGTAGAGCCTAAGAGTGAATTCAACCCAGATGGGCACCCGACGGTCTGGGCGCAGCGGAGGGTCAGGACGCGCGGCGGCGTCGGCGTAGCGGACGTCAACCCACACCCGTACGGTGTCGATGGGGCGGGCCTCTTGTACTGTTTCCATTTGAACTTACACGCATTTGCGTCCTATACAGTATATATGCATATATGCATACCGGCCTGGTGCCCAACAGTCACTAGTCAAGTGCGCCAACAACGGACGAGGTACGGTGCCAAATATAGGGGCAAAATGTGGTTGTTCCCACGGAGTGTCATTTTGGGCGCCTGGAGTTGGGCGCCTTGAGGGACTCCCTCAAGGCGCCTCGATATCCCTCCGGT